TTAAGTTGTCTTAATGATTTGTAGGAGCTTTTTATATATTAGGGAACTCAGCCTCTGTTCGTGATATGAATTGTAAATATTTTTTCACAGTCATTTGTCTTTTTGTTCTTTCTCCTGTGGTCTTTGCTGTGAAAGAATTTTAGATTTTTATATGGTTAAATTTATCAATATTTTCTTATGCCTTTTGGGTTTTGAGTCATAACTAGGAAGGTCTTTCCCACTCTGAGGTTGAAAAGACTTCTCCAGTAATTTATTGTAGTACTTTCATAGTTTTTGTTTGTTGGTTTGTTTGTTTTAATTAAATCTTGGCTCCGTTTGGAATTTATATTTATATAAGGGTATGAATCCTCTGTGTTTTCCTTATGGTTATCTACTTGTACTCAAACCATTTATTCATTACACATCTTNATTTCTTGAGTAGGTCTTATTTGTCCATGGGTCAGAATTCAAAATATATGACGATGTACACTCAAAAGTTACTCTCTTACCCTTTAGCCACACTGTTCCTCTCCCTAGATGCAATCAGTGGTATCAGTATATAAAAAAATCTTCTAAAGATATTTTACATATCAAGAAAATATGTGTATGTGCATGTATTCCACTTTTGCTGTTTTTACACTCTCCCCACCCCATTGGTAGCATCTTACACGTCCTACATATACCTCCTGCACTGTGCTTTTTAAATTTAACGTGTCTTAAGAGTTCAGTTTTTAGCAGTACATAAGGAACTTCCTATATCTTTTTTAAAGGCTGCGTAATATTCTGTTGTATGGTTGCATTATAACATGTTTGACCAGTCCCTTATCGATGGACTTTTGGGTAGCTTTCAAACTTTTGCTATTACAAAGTGCAGTGTCTTATGCATTCCTTCTTTTCATATGTATGTGTCTATGGTATAAATTCCTAAAAGTCCTTGCTCCATCAAAGGATTTTGACAGGTATTGCCGAATTACTTTCTGTGAAGGTTTTACCAATTTACATTCTTGCTTATGATCCGTGGCTCTTCTCCTTGGCCTTTGCCAACACATTGTGTTGCCAAATTATGTCAGGGAAAAAATTGTTAACATAGTTTTGACTTGCATTTCTCTTATTAGTCACTGTACACATCTTTCTCCATCTTTAACATGTATCCGTATTTCCTTTTTTGTGAACTTTATTCATTTTCTTTGCCTACCATTTCTTCCTTTTAAGTTGTCTTAATGATTTGTAGGAGCTTTTTATATATTAGGGAACTCAGCCTCTGTTCGNGTTTTATGATTTTTGTTCCTATTGTAAGGAAAAGATCTTTTTTCATTTATATTTCCTAGCTGGTTATCATTTGTATTTGAGGGCTATTAACAAAATGTTAACTACAGATATCCTATAGAATTCTTTAAAAAAAATTTTTTTTAATAAAATTCAGATAACATAAAATTAACCATTTAAAGTACACAATTCAGTGGCACTCAGTACCCCGGCAGTGTTGTGCAAACACTTCCTCTGTCTAGTTCTCAAACATTTTTATTATCCCCAAAGAAAATGCCATCACTCCCTATTTCCCTTCTACCCCAGCCACCTCTGATCTGCCTTCTGTCTCTATAGATTGACCTATTTAGGACATTTCATATGAATGAATCATACAATTATGTGACCTTTACTGTCTGGCTTCTTTCTCTTAGCATAACATTTTCAATATTCATCCATGTTGTAGCATATATCAGTACTTTATTCTGTTTTAGGCTGAATAATAATCCATTGTGTGGATATATCACATTTTGTGTATCCATTCATCATAAAGGGATGAATGTAAGTTGTTCCCACCTTTTGGCTGTTGGGAATAGTGCTGCTGTGAGTATTTGTGGACAGTATTGGTTTGAGTGGTTGTTTTCCATCTTTTGGGATAGACCTAGTAGTGGAATTGCC